TAATTCCTGATTGTGGGTTTTATGGATCTTCCTCTTCATATGCTTTCTCTTGTATTCTTGTGTTGATGGGATGCCACATAGAATGAGAAAATCACACATGAATTGGGGACCATAACCCTTTATATATTTCCATATGTATTCGGCCCATCGTCAAATACAAACCCTAATGGATCCGGTCTCTACACATATAGTCCGGTCCACACTTTAATTAGATGCTTAAAGCCCAATTACTTAATTCTTTATTAGATCACTTTAATTTTGAGCTTAATTTTAAGATAGCATTTATACATAGTTAATTACATATGTCGGCCCATCTCGGGAAATTAAATAATTTCCCAACAGTGTAATCATATTTTGCATATCATGTCGAAACTCAATATCTACATGCCTTTCAAGAGGTGGGGTATTTTGGAACAAGGACTTCCACCTTGTTGCTTTAGTCGACACGCAAAGTGGCGTAGCCTGCCTGTATCTTATGGTTTATATATAGCCTGCCATGCTTTCACATAAAATGCACATCTCTTCACTGATTCAAGCCTAGAATCAGACACAGACTTGCAGAATTCCATAGACTCATTAGGGTTTTTCGGAACTCAGCGTTTTCGTGTCAGCAGTTAAAAAGCAGGAACAAAAAAACAGTTAGGTTGATAAATGCACTGAACTTCAAGAGCATTGAATATCGCTGTATCTAAATTATACACAAAATAGTCATCTGATTTTCATTCTTTGCCTTGCTGAAAACAAAGATGGGTGAAAACAGACACCAGCTCCAAGGTTTTGATGTCTCCCTCAATGTGCCTGGTTCGAAATGTTTGGACGACGATGGCAGGCTCAAAAGAACTGGTATTTTGCTTAACTTATTCTTATTTTGAGTGCAGAATTTCACTTTTATGACAGATACGGGGGTCGGAATCCTTAGCAACTACAATAAACGATGTTAGTTCGTGTAATATATATGTCGTGTTTTCTCTTATATTCGTGTCATGTAAACAACAAACTGCCTTGTTCGTGATAAATTTGAGGTTGCTTTCATGAATTTTTTTTCGCAACTATGTTCGTTTATTTGCAAGATTTGAAGCAACTAGATCCTTATAGGTTATAAACTATAACGGATGAGATTAGTTCAGTTGATATATTTGCTGTGTCTAGGAACTGTATGGACCACAAGTGCTCACATAATAACTGCGGTGATTGGTTCTGGAGTCCTGTCCTTGGCTTGGGCTACTGCACAGCTTGGATGGATAGCTGGTCCAAGTGTGTTGTTCTTGTTCTCATTTGTTACATATTACACTTCTACTCTTCTGGCAGCATGTTACCGGTCCGGTAATTCAGATTCCGGGAAAAGAAACTATACTTACATGGATGCTGTCCGAGCCAATCTTGGTAATGTTAAAGATACGGAAAAATTTTGGAGTTTACGTCTGATTATGTACATAATAGATCATTAGCTTTTAGGCTTCTTTTGCAAATTTGTAAAATCAGTTTCTCACTTGTGGATTTCAAATTTCAGGTGGATTCCAAGTGAAAATTTGTGGAGCAATTCAGTACACGATTCTTCTTGGAACTGCTATTGGTTACACTATTGTATCATCTAAAAGCATGGAGTAAGTACGAATTTGAAAAAAAAAAAAAAGTTACTATTTCCATGTTTTGTCTAGTACTGAGTATTGAAAGTAGCCAATATGTTAATGCTTCGAAAAACTTATTACTGATGAAAAGTTAACTTAACAGGGCGATCGAGAGGTCGAATTGCTTCCATTCGAAAGGGCATAAAAGTCCTTGCAGAGTTTCAAGCAATCCTTATATGATTGCATTTGGAGTGATGGAAATAATTCTCTCACAAATTCCAGATTTTGATCAAATATGGTGGCTTTCAATTGTTGCAGCAGCTATGTCCTTCACTTACTCGAGCATTGGTCTAGGACTTGGAATTGCCAAAGTTGCTGGTAGGAAAATTGAATCTCTCAACAATTTAAAAAAAAAATTTCAAATTATGTTCTATTTTTTTTTTTACTCTTCTCGTGCAGAAAACGGGAAAATTCGTGGAAGTCTTACTGGAGTACATTTGACTCCAATGAAGAAAATATGGTCAAGTTTTGAAGCATTTGGGAACATTGCTTTTGCTTATTCTTTCTCCCTTGTTCTTATTGAAATTCAGGTATGATTTATGTTTTATCAGTGATCCTCATAACTGAGAGATAAGAGCTAGAGAAAAGAGAGCGAACCTAATCCCAATCACGAGAACAATATTAAGCAAAAAAACACATACAAACAAATATACATATTTACAGTGTTAACTACAATGAAAATGGAGAATTATAATGGAGATCTCACACTTCTGAGTAAATAGCGCCTTAATAAATCATTTATATATTTGGAACATTAGAATGACCATGTCATCCCATGTAGTGTCTAGCAAGTGTTAAGCACCCCCTATTAAGATTTGGGTTTCATAAGGTCTCAATATTGTTAAGAGGGGTAGTTCAAATTCTTATATGTTGATCTATATTTTCATCTTTATTCGATATAAAATTTATTCCTTAACATGCCAGCAAGATGATGGCTGGTTTGAGCAAGTCAATATTGAAATTCGCATGCTTAATCGAATCAAATCGCTCCTCGTTGGAGCTTAATGGACTCTGATACTATATTAAACTTTAGGGTTCCATTTTAAAAATGTCAACTTTGTTAAAAGAAATAGTTCAAATTCTTATATGTTGGTTTGTACTTTCATCTTTATTTGACGTGGGATTTATCCCCTTAACATCCACCTCTATGAACAAGTCCAGAAACTGATTTTGATTTCATCACAGGATACAATAAAGTCTCCACCATCAGAGTACAAAACAATGAAAAAGGCTACACTATTTAGTGTAATTGTAACAACCATTTTCTACATGTTTTGTGGATGTTTTGGCTATGCAGCATTCGGAGATTCTTCAAAGGGAAATCTCCTAACAGGGTTTGGATTCTTCAACCCATATTGGCTACTCGATATCGCTAATGCAGCCATAGTTATCCACCTTGTTGGTGCATACCAAGTTTTCTGTCAACCCCTTTTTGCCTTCGTCGAAAAAACAGCATCAAAATATTTTCCAGACAGTGAATTCATCACAAAAGAAGTCGAAATCTCAATTCCCAGCTTTAAATCCTTCAAACTCAACCTTTTCCGTTTAGTTTGGCGAACATTATTTGTGATCATAACGACTATAATCTCAATGCTTATACCATTCTTCAACGACGTTGTTGGGTTTCTTGGTGCATTTGGGTTCTGGCCTTTGTCTGTTTATTTCCCCGTCGAGATGTATATAGTACAGAAAACGATACCGAAATGGAGCTCGAGATGGATTGGTCTTCAAACACTGAGTGTAGCATGTCTCGTTATTTCCATTGCTGCAGCTGCTGGTTCTTTTGCTGGAGTTATTTCTGAACTGAAAGTGTATGAGCCATTCAAGACTAGTGACTGATTCTGTTAAATTTGGACAAAACAAGGAAGGACTAGAAATTAGGATTTCATTCTTATTTCATGCTCATAACAAACCAAAGAGAGTCCAATGGATTCAGAAACCCAAGTTTCTCCTCATGTCTGTATTGCTGTCTATTTCTCTGTTAAAATAGCAAATTCGAGCAAGGACCAAGGTGGCCTTACTCTCAAGTTGGTTGTATGGATTCTTTCAATAACGTGGACGGTTCTTCTCAAATTTAACCATACATTTTATTGGATTCAAAACTTTAATCCATTTTTAAATCACAAGTTTAAAATCTTTAAAAAAAAAAAAAATCAAATAGGGCCTTATTATCCCCATTGCCAAAATCTTGTAACATATAGACAATCAAGATAGGTACATGTTGGTAAAGTCGTGCATAAATTATATTCTGACTTCTAAATACGTGCACTCAAGATTAATGTGCAAATGAATCGTATAGAAATTGATTAATAGGTCCCATTCTTTTGTTAATCAATTTCCAATTGTCACATGGGAATGATACTTGTACACTAGGAGTGTCATAAGGGTGTCCATCCTTATGTACCATCAATGTACTTGTAGCAGAACCTTTGTCACATTAAAGCGAGTGTCAACTCAAAAGCTGACGTTATCAACTTCATATTTATTCATGAAAAATATCGATCTTGATAAGTTTTTTACAATTTCATAAACTTGCACATGAAATAATTTTATAGATTTTTTCTTTTAAGGCCGGAAATTTGATTTTAAATTCCATAGATATGGCTACTTTCATACAATAGAATGTTTTACGTGTAAATTCAAAATTTTTCCTCATTTGTTAATCACACATTCTCCAAAAATTATTATTCAAAACAATGTATTTTCGAAAAAGGCCACCGACTTGGGGCTAAATTTTTTTAGCTAAATTTCAGTTAGTATGATACGAGTTAGTTGACTTCAATATATTTGCAAGTTTTTTACTTTGTTCATGTGTGTGAGATTTGAGTTTGACTAATAGAGAATGTAACTTTGTTTATCTAGTTAGATTATCACATTAATTTTCCATTAATCGAGCTAATAGGAGTATTGGGGAAAATGATCAAATCTAAGGAAAGTATGAACTAAGACTGCAAACTTTTTGGAATGAGGTTAGGTGTGAACTACTTTTTGAAATCAAGACTGGGCTAGTCTCTTTGTCATCTATTGATTATCCTTCTCCATCAAAAAACAGTGGACCGCCCCACCCCACCATTCCAAGATTGGGTGGAGGAGAAATGCAAACATGAAACCTTCATATGAGGAATTGAAAGGTGATTGGATTGAGCTTTTCTACACAATCTTTTTAAATATATATCTCCTTAAAGTTGTATTGTTCAAGTGTTAAAACTAGTTAAGCACCCGTTTGGCCCCATTATTTCACATTATAAATAGAGGAATAGTAATTTTTTTTTTTGAGAATATGCAGTTAAAAAATAAATAATTTTTTTTTTGGATTTACCTGTAATATCGTTTCATTAGATAATGTGTGGCTGATAAAAAATAAATTATAATTTAATGAAAAATAATGGAGGTCAAACGGGGCTGAAGGAGGCTCACACTATTACAAAAAAGGATTCATATGGTCCATCAAAAATTTATTGAAATAGAAGATTTGATTTTTTGTTATGTTCTTAAAAGTGTAAAGTGTGTGTAACATAGAAGCCAAGCTTCAAATTTTACGGGTGAAAAAAATGTTTTCTTATTTTTAATATTATTTTAAAATTTTAATCATTTTAGAAAATCATTTAATAATTAAAAGAACACATACCACATATCAAAATTATAAAATACTATATTTACTTAAAACATGTTTGAGCCCCTCTTTTTTTTTTTAATGAAAATACATTTTGGAATAGTATTTTGATGAAAAATGTATGGTTGAAAAATAAGAAAAAATTTTGGACTTGCATGTAATATTCTTTTATTAAAAATGTGTGATTGAAATAAGACAAAAAAATGTATATTGAAAATAATCGGGACCAAATAATGGCTTAATAATTCCTACAATTAATCAATTATACAATTTTCACAAGAAAATTTTGAAACTAAAATCAAATAAAACTTTTTAAAAAATAAAAATAAGAAACTAATAAAACACACTTAGAAATACATTAAGTGGTCAATCTGACAGTTGATCGCTTAATTTTACGCATACTGCCAAGTTGTGGAGTTTCTCTCGCGTCTCGTTTTTAGACTCGCTTTTTAGAACACTGATTTTTTCTCATAAATGTTTGTATACCACACAATACGAGTTGGGTTTATTGTTTGAACACTGGTTTTATCATGATATTGGAGTACACATATGTACTTAGGAATAGTAAGGTTTATTTCTCTATCCTATTGATTGCATAAAGGCTTCAGCCCTAACGTTGTTGAGGGCGAGGGTGTTAGTATACATTACATCTCCTAAGTGGAAATTACAACAAACTAGGCCTTAAGTTTGACATTTTTAAAATTCAGGTTTTCATGTTTTTTTTTTTTTCATTTCTCAGATTTTTATAATTTTAATTAAACAATTATCCATTTAATTAAATGGCGCGCATATCCCATTAATTGAGGGTTTCAAATTTGTTAATATCTCAACTTCCATTTCTATTCAAACCTATCTTCTCTCAACCATTATCTCATCTCCACATTAGTCGTTCCCAATCTCAACCACATCTCCAAATATTTCTGTTATTGACTCCAAACTCCATACAATCCGGTGCACTCAATATCTTCTACATTGTGAGAACTCTTTTCGGCTGTGAATACAAATGGCGAAAACAAAGGGTGAAAAGAAGGCGAAGAAGACATTAAAAACGCCGGTTGGATCGAACAGGAAGACAATGGAAAGCCCGAAGAAAATGCCAACAAAAAGGCAAAAATTTCATGGGTCAAGTGGCAATCATTTAGGGAAGAAGGTAACTTTGTGGGTCAAGTGGTAAATTCGTGATTTGTTGTTATTAATTTCATTTGTATCCTGTTAGTTGATAGAGAAGTAGTTTTGTGTTGCATAAGTGGAAAAATAGGATGGGAATTGAAAGAAAATGTGAAGGAAACAACTTTCTTCCTGTCAAATTCTGAAGGGGACTAAAGGATTGACGGTGCTTGTAGGGTACGGAGATGTCTTGGAGCTTGACTGCATTTTCCTTATCACATCTTAATTTAACTTTGTAAAGGTAACTGTTAAACATTTTGTTGCACGACTAGAGCTAGTTAGACCTTTGTCATAGATGCAAAAAATTTCACAAGGCTTCAGTGGGATTCTTTTTTAAATGATTTTGGCAATCGGATATCTATATAAATTACGTTTCCTTCTTGTATTGTGTGGTGCAAAGAATTTTCTAGTTGGGCCAGTGCACATTTTATTTTCTTCGATTATTTTGTACCTTAATTTTGTGAAAATGGAAATTGAAAATTAGCAATTGTTACCACTCAGCAAATGTGGTCTGTTCTCGAACCAATTGTCTCATGTGTGGTAGGCAAGATGCATTATCTTCATGTGTACAAAATTGTCAAATGCATAGAGAGAATAAGAGATCTAACCAACTGGCTGCATTCGTCGAAACACCAATTGCTGGGGGAAACCAATTCTTTTACCTAACTAATTTTCATTGTTGTCCACAGTAAATTTTTCCAGGTTTATGCGGATTATTTTTACCAAAAAGGTCAAATTTCACTCACATTTGCCTAGTTTGGATTTGATTGACTCCTTGTTATATTTATCCAGGTTTATGCGGATTATTTTTACCAAAAAGGTCAAATTTCACTCACATTTGCCTATTTTGGATTTGATTGACTCCTTGTTACTTACATAGTTTTAGAAGTTCAATACATGGTACTTAGCAATTTGAGCACTCATCAATCACAAGTGAATGCAGATTTTGTCGAAATAAATTTAATGGAGTGGGTTCAAAAATGTTAGAATCACATGCATGTGGAAATTAAAAATGATCTATTATACGTTGACCTATGTATGGAAGTAGATGTTGCCATTGAAGGATAAGGGCAAAATATAACAATCTGATACATTTAAGTAATCTCTTTGTTCCTCCGGTTAAAACATGTATGTTCTATCAATGTTCCCACAGAAATCATAGAGCGAGTAATGGAACTGTGACCTGCCTGACACATGTCATGGAGTTTATACTGTATCTGTGACCTAATTTCTTAACATGTAATATGCTCATGCGCGTATATGACCTAATTGTATTATGTGATTTATGCCTATGACCTCTCTTAATTTGTATTTGTGACTTGCCATAAACTCCTTTGCTGCAACTTTGGAAATTCATGCTATCGCAAGAAAAATGGTTTCCTGACAAGATTACAATGTCCATGACAAAGGGTGTTTTCACCAATCTGAAGAGATATCTGAATGAAGCCCAACGAAGAATACTCAGGGGAACATGCTTTGGACATTTTATGGACTGCCATGACATAGCCCTACAGTCACAGTTGCTACATGATGATAAGAATTCGATGCCGAGCAAATTTGATGGGAGAGAATAAGGCTGGACATTGCCACAAAGCTGTATAAGTATCGGAGTATATACAAGCCTACGAAGGTGGGGAAGCACAAAAAAGGAGATGAGATTCTCATTGAGTGATGACCGTCTTTTTTTTTTTTTTTTTTTTAAGTTTGAAACAATGAACAAACTCTTTAAAGTTTCTGATTGTTTGCCATTATCTTTTTTTTTGGTGTCATTGTCTGTTTCGATTTGCGGTAGTTTTTGTGATCTGGTAAATACATGTAACTTAAAAGCTATTATTAACCGTGGTAAAAGTAACTGAGCAGGCATGTGTTTGACTTAAAAGCTATTATTTGCATCTGTGTAAATTGCAATCTAATGGTCACAGGTCATTCCATATATCACACATTTCATTCTGATGCTAACAGTGAAAATTACTTTGGTATCATATGGTCACGGGTTTATGATGGTCACAATGGCCTGTGTAAATGTATTTACGCATGTCACATTCTGTATTAGAAGATTTCTACAGTGTCACATGTGATAATATTTTTGGAGTATATAGGTCACATGAATACTAGTAGTGACATAATGTTACACCAGGTCACAGAGAATACTATAGGGAATTGTCCACGTGATCGAAATCAGTCTGGGGCTGACGCAGAATCTGTATATTAGGGATGTAATTTTTTATATTAGGAAGTTTTAACGGTATGCTTAAATTAAGGAATTGTTAAATATAATTAATTAGTTCACGGACAAACCTGATTTTTGAAATTCTAAAACTTGGAGCCTGAACTTTGATTTCGTGATAGATAATACATGACCCATGCATTTTTTTCCCATCACCTAATTAGTACAACTGAGATATGTAAGTTTAGTAGTAGGTGAAGACAATCTTTTTTTGGATAAAATTATAGCCCTATTTGATAGAGATTAAAATTAAATTTTTAGTAAATTTTGATAAAAATTGATGAAATATGTGGTTTAAAAGTTATAGGTCTCATGGAATACGTGGTTAAAATTAATCGTTGACTTTAGTTTGAGATTTTAATTGAACTTTAATCCAAACCAAACAGGGACTATATCATAAGTCGATTTTACATTGACTGTTATGAACTTTTTGTGATATATTGTTATAATTGAGTGGTCTCCACATTCTATAATACAAGTTGCAATTGCTGGACTTTTAAGTTGTTGAAGGTCATCTTGGATGAGCAAAAATGCTTGAAGAATAAATCTTTTTGAATGACGTTTTTATGAGAAAAATACAATTGGAGCGTTCAAGCTAAGAAGAAACTACATGCACTTTATACTCGAATCAAGTGAGAGTATGAAGAGTTTCGATAAAATTTTGATCCAAATTTTGTAGTTTAACATGATATTATAGCGATGAAGGTCACAAGTTCAAGTTTCTATTTACTCACTATAAAAAATGAACGAAAAATAAATTCGTATTGAATTTAATAGATAATATTGTGATATTTATTTTAGCTGATTAAGCAATATTAAATGCAACAAATGCGGTTTTATTTTCAAATTGGTACTCCTCCATATCAATCGCACATATTTCCAATTGCGCCCTCAAATTGGCTTCGTTAAAGACTGGTTTACCCTTGCCATTATCACGCTGCTTAAAAATAGGGGTGTCCAAAAGTCCCGAACCGAACCGAACCAAATCGAGCGGTTTTTCATAAATCAAATACCCGAACGGGTACCCGAATCGAGAACCGATGGGTTTGGGTCGGATCTCGGGCCTAGACCAAGAACCGAAGAACCGAATAAGAACCGAAGCTGAATAATTTTTTTATTTTTTATATTAAATTAATTAAATTATTTTATTTTTTATATAAATTAGCAAATTAATTAAATAAATCAGATTATTTCATTTTGAATTTTCGATAATAATTGGCACCATTTTTATTGTGAGCAGGCATGTGTTTGACTTAAAAGCTATTATTTGCATCTGTGTAAATTGCAATCTAATGGTCACATGTCATTCCATATATCACACATTTCATTTTGATGTTAACAGTGAAAATTACTTTGGTATCATATGGTCACAGGTTTATGATGGTCACAGTGGCCTGTATAAATGTATTTACGCAGGTCACATTCTGTATTAGAAGATTTCTACAGTGTCACATGTGATAATATTTTTGGAGTATGTAGGTCACATGAATACTAGTAGTGACATAATGTTACACCAGGTCACAGAGAATACTATAGGGAATTGTCCACGTGATCGAAATCAGTCTGGGGCTGACGCGGAATCTGTATATTAGGGATGTAATTTTTTATATTAGGAAGTTTTAACGGTATGCTTAAATTAAGGAATTGTTAAATATAATTAATTAGTTCACGGACAAACCTGATTTTTGAAATTCTAAAACTTGGAGCCTGAATTTTGATTTCGTGATAGATAATACATGACCCATGCATTTTTTTCCCATCACCTAATTAGTACAACTGAGATATGTAAGTTTAGTAGTAGGTGAAGACAAACATCTTTTTTGGATAAAATTATAGCCCTATTTGGTAGAGATTAAAATTAAATTTTTAGTAAATTTTGATAAAAATTGATGAAATATGTGGTTTAAAAGTTATAGGTTTCATGGAATACGTGGTTAAAATTAATCGTTGACTTTAATTTGAGATTTTAATTGAACTTTAATCCAAACCAAACAGGAACTATATCATAAGTCGATTTTACATTGACTGTTATGAACTTTTTGTGATATATTGTTGTAATTGAGTGGTCTCCACATTCTATAATACAAGTTGCAATTGCTGGACTTTTAAGTTGTTGAAGGTCATCTTGGATGAGCAAAAATGCTTGAAGAATAAATCTTTTTGAATGACGTTTTTAAGAGAAAAATACAATTGGAGCGTTCAAGCTAAGAAGAAACTACATGCACTTTATACTCGAATCAAGTGAGAGTATGAAGAGTTTCGATAAAATTTTGATCCAAATTTTGTAGTTTAACATGATATTATAGCGATGAAGGTCACGAGTTCAAGTTTCTATTTACTCACTATAAAAAATGAACGAAAAATAAATTCGTATTGAATTTAATAGATAATATTGTGATATTTATTTTAGCTGATTAAGCAATATTAAATGCAACAAATGCTGTTTTATTTTCAAATTGGTACTCCTCCATATCAATCGCACATATTTCCAATTGCGCCCTCAAATTGGCTTCGTTAAAGACTGGTTAACCCTTGCCATTATCACGCTGCTTAAAAATAGGGGTGTCCAAAAGTCCCGAACCGAACCGAACCGAACCGAGCGGTTTTTCATAAATCAAATACCCGAACGGGTACCCGAATCGAGAACCGATGGGTTTGGGTCGGATCTCGGGCCTAGAACAAGAACCGAAGAACTGAATAAGAACCGAAACTAAATAATTTTTTTATTTTTTATATTGAATTAATTAAATTATTTTATTTTTTCTATACAAATTAGCAAATTAATTAAATAAATCAGATTATTTCATAATTTTAATTTTAAAAC